ATCACCATCCTCTTCCTCATCGGAGTCTTCCTCCTCTTCGGCAACTGTCTCTCTGTTACTTTCTGACTGGGTGAGGTCTGATATGAGTAGTGCTTTGAGTCCATTGCTCAGCTCAATGTACCTGAAACAGGTTTAATTATTTCTTTTCAGAAAATAAATAGCATTAAAAAAATAAATGTTTATCATCAACATCATTATTACTATTATTAAATAATAATAAAATAAACAACAATGTTTTAATTAATAACTACATTTAAATAAATGTATAATTTATTTTCTTAAATATACATTTGATAATATAATTGAACATAATTTAAAAATAAAAACTAATAGTAACAAAATAATCAATTACCTGATCAAATATATTAAAATAGCCTTTTAATAATAATAATAATAATAATTACAACAATGAATAAGTATTATACTTTTGTTTTCAAATACATATTTGATTAATATCATTAAATATAAATAAAATACATGAAACCTAAATATAAATAAAAAATAACATATTTTATATAATAATATATTTAATAATAACAATAATTTACTTTAAAAACGTTAAAATATGTTTATTAAAATGTATACATTTATTTTCATAAATAAATACATTTGATAATAAAATAAAAAAAACTTACTTTATAGTATGTATTCAAATATTTTATTAATAATAATAATAATAATAATAATATAAACAATTTTGTAATTTTAATTTTACATATTCATTTAATAATATAATTAAATATAAATGAAATAAAAACAAATAACAAAATAATAATTTACTTTATCAAATGTATTAAAATATGCTTTATTAATGTTAATATGTATAATTTTAATATCGAATATACATTTGATAATATAATTAAACATAAACAAGATAAAAACTAATCACAAAATAATAATTTACTTTACAAAATATACTTCATAAAATATTATTTTAATATTTATGTTTAATACTTACATGCATAATGATAGCAATAATAATAATAATAAATAGTAATAATAATACTAATAAATAATAACATGTTAACAATAACAATATATTTCATATTCTCAATTATTCATATAAAGTAATATATAGTATTAATATGATAACCGTTATTATCAATTTCTATTATATTATTATTAAATCCATTTACCAAAAATATATTATAAAATGTATACATTTGACGAATAAGAAACACATAAATAAATAAATAATTGCAACAATAATTATATTGTTGCAATTATTTATTTATTTATGTGTTTCTTATTTGATAAATTATAATCGATTATGTATTGATTATAATGCTCTGTACAGCACTTTGGTCAACCTTGGGTTTTTAAATGTGCTTTATAAATAAACAATGAATGAATGAATGAATATTATAAAGCATAAACTGTCTTTACCTGTATTTTTTGGGGTCGCTCAGTGATTTGGTTATTATCGGGTCGCTTCGCTCAGATTCTCCGGCTCTGTCAGGCTCGGGCTGGGAGACTCGCGGTTCGGCTCGAGCTGGTGGAGGTTCTCCGCTCTCTGGACCGGACACTTCACCGGCAGATCCACCTGAAGTTTTGGCCTTATTCGTCTGGGGCATTTTGACTCAAACACTCTGCATACAACAACCCAAACCTGTCAGACAGCATCCAAACACAGTAGATTTAACATGACTGACACCTGTCACGAATATATTTACGTCCTCTGCTGTATTAAAGGGGTCATATGATGCAATTAAAATTTTTCCTTTCTCTTTGGAGTGTTACAAGGTCTTGGTGCATAAAGATGATCTGTAAAGTTGCAAAGACTAAAGTCTCAAATCCAAAGAGATATTCTTTATAAAAGTTAAGAGTCAGCCACGCCTACCTAAAACGGCTCGTTCTAACACACCCCCACATGTCTACGTCACGATGTGGGAAGATTTGCATAACGCCGCCCAAATGTTCACGCAAAGAAAGAAGGCGTAACTTTTATTCTCGCTGTAGTATTGTTGTTGCTGCCGCCATGTTGTGGAGGCGCTGTGTGTTTCGTTGTGAAAGCGAAACTACTTTGTTTGGCCTTCCAAAAGAGGACGATATCCGCTACGTCATGCCTGGAGCTGATCCGTGCTGGTCGCTGAGGAAATACATCAATTTTGTGCTGTGGATCACCGGATCGGCTTTCACGGTGGACGAAGTGGAGTCCAGTCCGGGGTCGTCACATGTGGTTGCCGCAAGCCCGCCGGCCTCCGCTCACTCTAGCCCGCCATGTGTGACGCTGTGTTTCGTTGTGAAAGCGAAACTACTTTGTTTGGCCTTCCAAAAGAGGACACCACTAGAAATCAGTGGTTAAGTTGTATTTACAACACTGTTCCGGAACAGTTCACCCCAAATATTCAGATTTGTGCAGACCATTTTATGGAGAACTGTTTCCTGATCCTGGGAGAGTAGACTACAATGCCGGCTGTTCTGACTCACAGACTGTAAGTACGTTTTTTATATTTAAAGAATTTGCCACTGACGATTCAAACTCGAGTTTTGGGCAGTGTAGAGTAGGGCTTGTTGTTTGTCATTTCTCCAATCACAAATGCAGACATGGTTTTATGTTTACGCGGCGCGATGCAATGCAACGCGTAAAAAGACAGTATAAGTCATTATAATCAGTAATTATGTCCCCACTGGATGCAACAAATGCCTCGTTTATAATGGGTTTAATGTTTTTGTCTCGTCGCTCCGGCCTGACAGGGCATCACAATATGGTAAGGGGCATAACATTTCCGTCACACGTTTGAGGTATTCGGCCAATCACAACGCACTGGATAGCGGGCCAATCACAGCACACCTTGCTTTTCAGAACGATGAGCTTTGTAAAAACCGACGCGTTTCAGAAAGGCGGGGCATAGAGGAGAAACAATAATGTACATTATGTGGAAAATAATGTGTTTTTTGAACCTTAAACCGCATAAACATTTCATTGCACCAAATACACAAAATAATGTTCTTTTTAGCAACATCATATGACCCCTTTAAAACTCCAGCAGCTACTAATCCCTTTCAGGGCCTGCAATAAGACAACAGTAAAAAGCGTTCTGATAATCAAACTTCTGCAAACAATTCCTGTACCGTACCTACGTTTCTGTTGAGGATGGGATTACGGATGTTACACAGACGTTAACGCTCTTGATGAGCACACCTAATACACTGAAATCTCATTGGCTGATAGACCATGGCATGAAAAACAAGAACTTATCTGATTGGTCGAGTAGTCTATTACATGAAAAACATATACTCAAAACCTTAAAGGTTCATTCAGCTCCATATGTTCACAATGGAGTGGTTCATAGAGTTTTATTTTGAACTTGGACGAAATAGTCAGTGCATGCTTATCAAGGCACAGTTTTGGGACATTCTAAAACGCTTAAAGGGGTCATACGATGTTGCTAAAAAGAACATTATTTTGTGTATTTGGTGTAATGAAATGTGTTTATGCGGTTATCGACACAGCGTCACACACGGCGGGCTTCAGTGAGGAACGGCCAGCAGGCTTGAGAACGGCGCAGCAGATCTTCTTTATGCACCAAGAGCTTGTAACACTCCAAAGAGAAAGGAAAACTTGAAATCGCATCATATGACCCCTTTAAATTGAGGTATAAAAATTACTTAACTGAAATAACAATAAAGCTATATATAAATATTTTTAAAAAGCTAATAAAAAGAAAAAAGCACCTAAAATGAATTTAACTTAAACTAAAGTTAAAAGTGAAAATAAAAAAATAAAAGGTAATTCAAAATATTAATCAATACTATAATAGTATATAAATAATAAAAGAACACAGCTAAAGATAGATTTGATAGACAGACAGATATTCATTGTTTAATCTAAGACCATAAATTAAAATTCAGATTTTTAAAAATGAAGAATAAGGATACTGTAATTAAAGCTCTGTTTTAGTGAATTTTGAGTTTTGAAAGTTTTAATTTCAAATAGTATATACAGTATATATCTTTATTATACTGGCCATACAACATACATACAATCACAGACATGACACATAAATATTACTATTATTATATGTGATTTGTGCTTTTATTTTTACAAATTGCATCTAAAAGTAACATTCACAACTGTACAATCACTGTACGCCCCAGTGTAAATTGTCTACAAATCAAAATACACTGACAGCAAAGGTACAACTATATATTCCAGCAGCATAAAAATAAATATCTACTCAGAAAAACAAAAAGTAGCCTATAACATCTGAATTAAAAATATCTCATTTGGAATATTTTCGACTATAGTTACAGAAGACACTCGTACGTCACTTGATAAAAAACCAAAGTAGATTATACATACACGAACCCACAAGGATTTGCTACAAGTTTCTGAAATATAAAGACATCCTGGCACGAGTTCACAATATATCTCGCCGTTCTGCTCGAGGACTTGAGTGAAGAATATCTTTTGAACGTCACCTGACTATGAAATGTGCTGATTGTGTTCAGTCTATTATTACTCACAACTGTTACATGTGGTTTCTGACAATACTAAGTTTAACATGAATTTAATATCATATTTTTGTGTAAGACATGAATTTTATTTAGCGTACCTAATCATGAATTCACTAAACATCACATTTTTTCTCTCTTAACATAAAGGTAGCTTAAGCAAGTGCTCATTTTCTCAAAACACATACTGTGCCAGCAGTTAATAGATGGAGTCCAACATACAATGTGCATCTGCTTCTGATCCAATCAAATCAGAGCATTGAAACCACCCTGAAAACTGCATAATGGCCATTTTGCAAAAGTCTGAGTTTATATTTGTGCCTTTTAACATAATATACACCATTTTACCTTCACTATTGAGATAGTTCACCCATTGTAGATCTAAACAGCTGCTGGTAGCCATTCACTTCTATAGTATTTTTCTCCATACTATAGAAGTCAATGGCTACCGTCAACTGTTTGGTTAACAACATTCTTCAAAATATCTTCTTTTGTGTTTAACAGAAAAAAGAAACTCATCAAAAACTTGAGGATGAGCAAATGATGACAATTTTTATTTTTGGGTGAACTATCCCCTTAAAAGTACTCATATACTACACTCAATATATAATTCATAAGATTAGCAAGATTGTGCCACAACAGATTGTGTTTTAAATCTAGTTTCAACAGTGAACACTTAAGTTCTGAGAGCCAAGTAATAGTTTTTTGTGCTTTGCTCTAGTCCCTGCTTTGAGTTTCCTATGGACTGATTAAGTTAGAAGTGTACTATTATTACTGAACTACTTCATGTGTTTGACAGCTACAAACAAACAAGGGTGCGTTTCCCGCATCGTTAGCCAACTATGGTCGCAAGTTCTGTCGCTATCTACAATGATTCAATGTTTCCCGAAACCATAGTTCCAAGGAACATTCGCAAAATTGCATGGTAGGAACTACTACTTTTGGTCTGTGGTTAGAAGCATAGTTTCTTGTTAGCATGCCGTCTAAATATACATTGTTTTATATGTATTTTAGCGTGTCAACGATGAGCAGCATTTTTGAAGAGTGCGCATGTGTGTAAATGCATACGGGAACCCTGGAGTATGACGGAAAAGGGAACATGTGATGAATCGTACATCAAATAAAGAAAAACAAGGGCAACAAAATAGTTAAGCAATCCTTAGATGCTACGTTCGTCAAAGTTAGAAATTACGTTATAGAGAAGATGCTTATTGAAACAACCAAATGTAAAGTGTACGCCAATTACATACTACATGTTAACGTGATTTTAAAAAATGAACAGCGTTCTGTTGTTTGAGTAAATTAACTATAAACTATCGAATCGATTATTTATCAGAAGTTTTTACTCCAATGCCTGTGTGCGACGTCATTAACGACAATTCTATATTGTTGGACCAACATGTTTAAATGATGAAGGTGCAACCATGTTACTACGATTTCCAGAAACAGTCGTCACTAGCTAGTTAATTTTTCTAACGATGTATCATACTATAAAACGCACCCCAGATTGGTTCCAGTCGCCATATAACATAAGATCAAACCAAACAACATCGGATCTGCTGCTGATACGTTGGCACATGAGTCGAGATGGAAATCAGCAACAATTCTGAGGTAGCTGGGGCGGCTTATCGGTTAGCCGGGTGGTTTTGGCACCGGTGACCATGGGTGGATCCGTATCGACTCTCTCGGACATCTTCACACAGATAATGTCAACTAAGCGCTCGAATACTTGTCTGACGTTGATGTTCTCCTTGGCGCTGGCTTCGTAGTACTCAAACCCTGCGAGAAAGTATCCAAAGAAATTAGATCAAATCCAATAAATTGGATGAAAGACTGGACACAACTTACCTAACTGGTCGGCCAAGTGTTTCCCCTTTTCAAAAGGCACCACCCTTTCCTCATCCATGTCACATTTGTTCCCCACTAATATCACCTGAGCGTTATCCCATGAATAGGTCTTAATCTGTGTTGCCCTAAAAGGAAAAGTGCATTTATGTCATATAACTTCAGTGGATAAAACTCTATGGATTCCGGATTAAAGCTGCTCACCAGTCCTGCACTGCATTGAAGGACTCTTCATTTGTGATGTCGTACATGAGGATGAAGCCCATGGCTCCTCTATAGTAAGCTGTTGTAATAGTTCTATACCGCTCCTGTCCCGCTGTATCCTATAGACAACACAGAAAATTCACAAATTCATTATACATTTATGCCAAAAAAATAGTTGTCAGAGGCCTGGCACATTGTTTAGCAAACAAGATACACATTGAGCAGTGGTGCTCATTCAGGAGATGCAGGATTGAATCCTGAACCCATTCCTCCCTCTTTTCCCCATTATTTCCTCTTTATTTTTGCTATGTTATTTGCTAGGGTAGATGCATTTAATTTGATGCAGTCAATTCAATCTACAGTATCTATCTATCTATCTATCTATCTATCTGTCTGTGTGTGTGTGTGTGTGTGTTTGTAAAACTAAATTTTATATATATATATATATATATATATATATATATTCATATAGATTTTATTCTATACATAAATACAAATATATATTACATATAATTCTTAAATACACACATATATATTAATTTATTAATTTGATTCATTGTAATCTGTATAAACTATAAAAAAATACTTATACTTAATTTTGCACTGTATACACTTTTTTTTATTAATTTTTAAATAATGTCAAAATAATTTTTTAATTATCAGAAATTAAAAAAATAACTAATACATAATTATCACAGATAAAGTAATCTTAAATTATTTTTTTATTAAATTATACATTTTATTTATTTAATCTCATGACTTTTCCATTTCTGGAAAGTCAAAAATGCAATACAAACTTTGGTGGCATTGTTATTTATAACAGCGTGACATATCATGACCTTCAATGCTCCATGAATGCAACAGATACAAAACATGAGGAGGACAAACTAAATGAATGGTTTAGTGAAACGTCGCAATTTCTCTATTTTAGGCCCGTCTTTATTTAAAGCCCATTTTGTTTTGTTCCACTTGGCGCCAGTTTCCCTGCAGCTGTTTTGAATGAGAGCCTATTTTTAACACCTCACGATCAATACACCCAGATTATGAATTATCCAAAATTGTGGTTGTGTCTTACTTGTCACCCGGCACTCTCGGGTGCTTTCGAACTCTCTTCCCACCCTTTCTTACCCTCAGGGGCTGCTTTAATTGGCTATGAGGATCTCTCTCTGCCAGGGAGCAGTATGTGTGTTGCTTCCATGACAACCAGCATCGATGATGCATGTGGGGGGGGGGAGGTAAAGGAAGGCGCTTGCTTTCTTTTCCTCCAGAAAAAGATGGCTCTCATTCACAGCCTGGTGGAAGGTGATTGTGGAAGGTAGAGGATGCGCCCGTCACATAATACAGCCAATGTGGTTCAAGTTTAATGATGCCAGCCAATCACATTAGAACAACAATCTGGGGCTAAAAATAACCTGATTTTCATTCACATATTACAATATTAGGCATTCAGTTACACCAATAAGCCTGCTCCAGCACTCACCCATATTTGGAGCTTCACTCTCTTGTCGTTCCTGTAAACTGTCTTCACCTTAAAGTCGATGCCGACTGTGCTGACAAAAGAGTTGCTAAAGGAGTCGTCTGCATATCTGAATAAAAAGCTGGTCTTTCCTACACTACTGTTGCCAATAATCAGGAGTTTGAACATGTAGTCAAAGTTCTGATCAGATCCATCTCTCTGCCCAAAGCGTTGGTCTGCTTTTGCCATCTGTGAATAAGGACAAGAGAATAAATACATGAGACTATTATCAACCCTGTTACAGGTATTGAGCAGTAGGTTGTATTTAAAAAAAGAAATACAATGTGTGTTAAATATTAATTACAGACAAACAACAGTACAGTTACAATACAGTAAATACTGGTGTCCACCCTGTTACTGAATTATAAAACATGAATTATAACACTACAATTATTATAAAATGTAATAAATAAAATACATGTTAATAAGCAAATAAATTACAAGCATAAAAATATAAATAAAAATTAATAAAATGAATTATAACATTACAATTATTATAAAATGTAATAAATAAAATACATGTTAATAAGCAAATAAATTACAAGCATAAAAATATAAATAAAAATTAATAAAATGAATTATAACATTACAATTATTATAAAATGTAATAAATAAAATACATGTTAATAAGCAAATAAATTACAAGCATAAAAAAATATATAAAAAAAAAAACAGGACCACCAGCTGTGGTCTATGTAGCCTATCATCAAAACAAGTCTTGAATGATGCATATGCCAATGCATAATTTCACGCCTTCATTTCTTATTACAGTGGTTTGTTTGGCAAAACCAACGTTAAATCAACACAACAGGTTCAGCTACACGATACATTTGGCATCTAAATCCATTCACAATGATAAATATCATTGCATAATCAGAGGATGCTATTTTGCCCACGTAAACACACGAGCTCGTTCATAACTGTCATTGAGATATTAACGGCATCCTGACGGACGACATTCACCGACAAACATCCATAAACGACAAGCAGCAGTCAATTAATGGCATATGATGGAGAAGCTCACCTCGGATTTAAGCGCAGCTCTCGTCTGGTGCTCTTGTAGGTGGGCGTTTATGGACGCTGCAGCACCTGACAACGCGTGCGCACCGACTCGGCTGTGAACGCGTCCAAAACGCCTGCTTTTACGTGCGTATTATCGCGTATATTAGCGAATGCCAGTGGTTTTATGGAGATTTCTTGTCGGGTTTATTTGAAAGCGCGCAGTGTACAGTAGGGTGGGGCAACGGCGACAATTAACCGACGTTTAACTACCGTCGGTCTAATTCAGCGCGAAATGTAAACGATTAAAATCAGATTAGGAACATACTGCGACCCAAAAAAGTATTTAAACACTTATGCCACACTGAGAAATGAAATGTCATTACTTTAGAGATTATAGAAAATATAATACCCGGCATAGATAGATAGATAGATTTTTTTTTACAGAAAAATGTACATTATGAAATATTTTAGAAAAAAATAAGGGCGCGTTTACCATTTTACCAAATTTCACCAAAATGCGCAGAACTCTCGACACGGCGTTTGCCGCTATTCATGAATTAAAATCATGTTTTTAGAAATTATCTGTCCTTATTCTTAATAAATGATAGTTGTATTTTAAAAGCTTAAAAGATGCTTGATGCTATGAATATTGGAGGGCGTTTAAAAGCACAACGTGCTGAAACATAATTTCCACAATATAGCATGGCCTTTGTGCGCCATTTCTAAAATGCAGTTTAAAATGAAGTTTTTGAAATATTCTGGCGAGCTTTAGGAATCAACTAAAAACAAGGTCAGTTGGTTAAATGTCATCAGTAAAAAGACTCAGAAAAGTGAAGTTGGTTTTGAGAAATTCTCAAGCATTATTTGCATGTCACTTTTATATTTTGTTTTCCAATTTTAATACAAAATACAGAACTAGGTACATACATACCACACCAAAATGTGAGGCTTTATTATGAATAGCACCTCAAAGGACATACAAGAACATTGGGTCCTCAGGGTATTTCAGATAAGTCTATTTATGAATCTCACTCACCAGGCTACAGGTGTTTATCTCAGTAAAGAATGAGGAAAGACGCCTGTATTTTTTAGTAAACAGGCTTGAACAACTTAATTGTTATCTAAGTTCGATAATTTGAAGTAATACTATACATAAGGAAGAATTAAGTGCACCATTTTTGCATGAAGTGGATAACTTATTTTGTGGGAAACATATCTATGGCATTTCTATCCAAATAAAACGCGTCCTTTTTCCATTTTAAAGCACAGAATTATCATACAATCACACTAGTACTGTATTTCGTGCCAAATGCTAATGAGTACATTTACTGGGAGTCAAATGAGAACTGAATCTGCTAATCTAATGAATGTATGAATGTATCTGTTTTCATATGTGATATGATATCTATTTTGAGATTATTTAACACATATCTATTGAAAGGCAACACATTATCTTCTCCTCTGGCTGCAGAGACTCTCACAGGCTTCCAAACAAAGTTACAGAGCGCTGCTTTCCCAAAGCGACAGTACACATTAGGCAACACCATATTTATTGCCTTTGGATTATTTTGTAGTGACTGCTGGTCCAATATCACTTTGTTCGAGTTCTGCTATCACAGACATGTGTTTAAACTCTGCCGGTTGGTGGTTGAAGGTCTCGACCAATCGGAAAGTCTCAAGCCGCTGCGATCCATAAAACAGCTGCACCTGATTGGCCAAGCACTGTGCCTGGTGGACAGTCTGAAAGAGGTTTAAAAAAAGGAATTAAAAATGGCACAGATTGCTTTGTTTTACTTAGTACCTTCATTTAACTTACCACAAATGTACTATCCATCTCAGCAGTCATCAGCACGATGCCTTTGTCCTTCTGCAGGTCTGTATAGTGGTATAAAATAAGCTGGCTGGGTGCGTTTTCTCCCATTGTCTGAAATACAAATCAATTTCAGTAACTATGCCAACAGACAGTGTGGAATTTAAATTAAAAAAACAAAACAAAAAAAAAGAAAATACCTGAACATTGATTAAAGATGTGAAGTGCAGTTCATGACCTGCCCACTGGCCGACAAAAAACTCATAGCCCTCCTTCTGGGGCAGAGCATACAGAAACTGTGCAAAGATTACATTATCATATATTATATATCTATTATCATAGATTATATTATATATCATTAGTACAAAGATCAAATTTATACTGAATTTCACTTTCTGGTAATGTACATGCAGGTACGCAAGGATGAGAATCGTAAAAACAACTCTTCAACTCATTAAAGTGATTTGTTCAGGAATCAAACTACACTGGTTGCCCTATGTGTTCAAGTCACCAAAAAAAAAGAGAATCGGTCTCATTAAAGTGATTAATTATGGAATCAGACTATGCTGGTTGAACGGCATGTTTGATTCACTAAAAATAATGTTACTCGTTACAGTGATTAATTCAGGAATTGGACTATGCTGGTTGTGCTGTATATTTGATTCATTACAGTGATTTGTTCGGGAATTGGACCTCACTAATATTATTGTATTTGATTGACAAAAGAATCGCGCTTTAAGTATTTGATTCACTAAAAAAAATTAGCTCAAAAGAGTCGTTGGGATCAAATGACACTAGTTGCGCTTCAGGTTTTTTATTTCCCTAAAAAGAACCGGCTTATAATAGTCATTCATTCAAAATTGAACTGTGCTGTATATTTGACTCACTAAAAAGAACCGACTTACTAAACTGATTCATTCGGGAATCAAACTATGAGTGAGTTACTGTTTCATGCTACAGATTCATTAGAAGTATTATGGAGCCACTAAATAATTAGTGCATTGAATAATTAAGAAGAACAAGCACATAACAACATTATTATATTTTACAGTATTTTTCTTGGTTCCCAACCTTACTGTTAAGTTTTACAGACCATCAGAGGCCACAGATAGCCTATGAATAAGATATTCAAGAGACAAACTCTTCATCATGATTAGACTGATGAAAGATGCTCTTGAAAGGATCTATTACCACTAAGTGGACATTTAGCATTTTGCAGGGTTATTAGATGGTATGATGCTTGACAATTTAAAAAACATACTTACCATTGGGCAAGATTTGGCACGACCAAAAATTATGTCAAATGTTGAGCCCTATGACAGAGAATTACAAGGTCATTTATCTCTGGTAAAACCACATATCTGATGATCTTAAATTTAACTACTCATCACAATAAATTGAACTGCTTTGAAATAAAAAGCAGTAAATATTAAGTTAAAGACTATATTGAATATATTACAGGATTGTTAAGAATGTATTACTTTGTTATTACAGGAGTTAATAGACTGATATATAAAACTGAACTCACTGGTATGACGGCACTGATTGTGTCTTTCTTTGAGAAGTACTGCATCCACAGCTGCACACAGAAAAGTAGGCATTTGGTAGGGCTGCACGATTATGACAAAGATCATAATTGTCAGTTATTCCCTTGAAATTGTAATTGCGATTATTAATTACGATTATCACAATTTACATTGAATGATGTTTATACCATTGTTTGAAGCAACTGCATGCCATATTTTTATATGAAAATAAACAAGCTGAAAACACTAAAACTGAAAAACTTGTATTGCTTTTCTATAGCATTAAGCCTCAAATGTCAAATATACATCGGATTGGTTTCTTCTTTAAATAAAAAAAAAAGAAAGTAAAAATATGCATGGTATTATAATGTTATACTAACACTAAAATTGAAACAATGGAAAAACCCTTAAGATAACATGTAGAAAAAAAAGCACATCAGAATAACATAAGAGGACTTTTATGTAATTGTTACGAACGATTACGTAATTGTGGCATCTGTCATTTTAATCGCGATTAGAAATTCGATTAATTGTGCAGCCCTAGCATTTGGTGTGGTACTCTAATATTTTCACTTTTTTTTTTCAGTACAGTCTATCTGCATGCTAAGACTGTACAAATGTGTTCTTTTATTAACATGCTTCCTCTTACCTCTACAATTTCAGATCCAGATTTCTCCTGAACCATATCAAGGTTGAGAATAGACCCTAATGTCTATAAAATAAGAAAAAAAGCAAAAGATGCAAATGACAAACTATACATCTCTAATTTACCATTTAAATACTAATGAAGTAACTATTAGCTTACCTTATCTTTGGTGAAGCCCCCAGCTCCTGCTTTACCACGTTTGTCCAGCTACAAATACAACAACATGAGCAAATGATATGTCTCATTACATATTATATTATATTATAGATTATATATTACATTTATTAAACAATATTGTATGGTTTATAATGTTCAATTATATATTAAAATAATAAAAAAAATAAAATTTAATATAATACAAAATACAATAAATACAATTTAAATAAAACATAATAAAATATAAAAAAATAACACGTTATTTACAAGTAGGCAACAAAAATCTAGCAGACCACGAAGGTAAATTTTGAAATGAAAAATGAAAATCAAATGTAAGATGTGCTCATCACCTCTTTCTCCATGTACTTCACGAATTCTGCTTGTCTGGACCGTCCGAGCGGCTCCGTCTTCACCTCACTGCGCTTCTCCAGCCGGACTTTATATTCTTGAGGTTTTGAACTGATGTTACAATATTACACACGCGATTAATATGAATATACAGAAACTACATATTAGCATTTGACAGCTGCTCACCTCCGCAGTTTCCTGATCTTCTCTTCATATTTACCATAATACGGATTTTCCTCCAGCTCCGGTTCTTTCTTCATCGAAAACGCCCTTAACTGAGATTGCACGAGTCCTGGAATCAGCGGTCGGATGCCAGTGGCCCTGACCGCCAACATCCCACGGTACAAACATGACATTTGTACCAAGGCCGCCGCCATCTTTTCCCCGTCCCACATCTATGAGTGTCCGGACGGAACCAAGTTTAATATAGGCACAAAATATATTGGTTCCTACACTAAAATTGTAGGCTCTCAGAAATGTCACTCAGAAATGAAATGTCATTGCCTTAGAGATGATATAGAAAATATAAAACCTGGCATAAATAATTAGATAGATAGATAAACAGATGACAGAAATTCTCTCTCTCTCTCTCTCTAT